CAATTGCATGGCTGCAGGATTGGTTTGTCGGAGAGATAATTTGTGTTTGATTTTTGCGAATATCTTACAAGAATACTATACACAGTTCAATTAACATTTGAACGAATATACTCGTATGAACAGAGAAACGCAAACAGAGGAGCCTCTGGGTGCAAGGAGAATATTTTCATCGATAAATGTTTCACATAGGAACCGATAAAAAATATACGTATTCTCTTTATGGCTTTGACATTTCAATACTACGACGAAAAACTTCTTTCAACATAATATCAGATCGAATATCAAATAGATTTTTTCACTTACAAAAGGAGTAATTTGAGAGCGATTTTGTCGGCATCTTTCTTTTCTGCATCTCACTCACTATTGTCATCATCCGTTACACTTAAACAAATTTAAAAGCATAACTGTGGTAATTTCAGGAACCGAAGGCACAACGTTAACGTTATACTTCTTGCATTTAGAGAAGGAGCTCCCCGTCAGCCCTGAAGGGAAGTATAATAGTACTGAGGGAAATTTAAAAGATACTTCACACCATCTGGAAAAAATTAATTTTGTACTTGACATCAGAAGACTGCTATACCCGCAGATAATGAAATGACAATACACCCAATCCAACCATAAGTAGAATGTAAATGAGGAGAACATTTAAAACATTATTGGGAGTGCCATCGATGTGAGTACATTCTTATAGTATTGATATTTTAAACAATACCAAGTGTAATTTCTACATTCATGTAAAAAATAAGGTTTGTTGAATATTTGAAAAATGCTTTCGAAGCATTCTTTTGTAATATTTTTCATTCAATAATCGTCTTGTCAGATTATTATTTGAAAAAGTAATATTTAAACTTCACCTTAATCGAATTGATAATATTACCTTGGTAATTTTAAACACGAGCGTTTTCGAAAATTGAATATGAACACGAGTACCTTGATTTTATTTATTCATTCATTCAGGATTTCTTGTATCTTTTTGTTTGGTATGAAAAGTTATTAGTTGAAGTAGTTCTGGGTAGTTTATCTCACTATTTATTAATTTGAAGAGGAAACTCAAGTTCATAGAAATTCTTCTATCTTCCAATGATTTTATATTTAACTTGGTTAAGAGTTGACTGTACTCATAATAATTTCGTTGAACATTCTCAATCAAATCGATATTTACATTATAGTATGGGTCTCAGGACAAAACCTAGCATTTTGAAACTTTTTGCCACAATTTCTGATACTTGATGATTAATATTAATTTCGCTATGCAATTTAACTCCCAGATCAAGAATAAATATTTCTCTTTCAAGATCAATATTATAAAATGTATATTCAAAGAATATTGGACTAATTTTAGCGAACGTAGAGACTTGACAATTATCGATGTTTCTACACCACATGGAAAAAGCTTCGGGATCTTTTTGAACTAATTCAGAATCTTCCCGGCAAATAATTGCGATAAAGTTTGAGATCATCCGCGAACATAAGAAATTCTGAATATTTGAAAACAAATATGTCGGATACAAACAAATTGAACAGCAGTGGGCCATATGGGATCCCTGCGGTAACCCTGATGGATCCTGAATGGGCGTAGATGTTGTATCTCCGTATTTTATAGACAGAGTTTTACTAGTTAAAAAGCTATTGATTACTTCCGCCTATAACAAACGCTTGAATTTTAGATATAAGTAGGCCGTGCTCGACTCTATCAAAGGCTTTGAAAAAGTCAGTATAGACAGAGTCAACCTGTTTTACAAAACGTAGTATCGATAAAAACATTCATAAAATCAAATGAGGTGAAAAATCAAACAACCATCTCCACGCAGTAAAAATATACGAGCGTGTAGATGAACAAAGAAAGCAATTCTCGGTGATAAAATTTGATTCAAATCAATTAACAAACTACCAAGTAATAATATACACATGTTTCTAATCTCAAAGCAGACCCTATTCAATAATGAAAACAAATCATTTCCAAGCTATGTAGAATCCAACCACAAACGAAACATAAATCTATTCTCAAGTGCATAACACGAACAAACATTTTCCTTCATGTTCTTTCAAATTTTGTCGACATGTGGAAAGTAGAATATATTCAAAGCAAATTTTATAAGGCCAGAGAATAGTCAAAGCTCTCAAGTGGAGAGCTCATCTACACACATGTTAGTTTTTGTCTCTAAGGGAAAGCTCTTCCACTCGTGCCGAAGTTGTGTTCGCCTCAGATGCAGTTCAAGGAACTGAAATACGAGGACGATTCTATAATGTTTCAGAAATGAAAATGATTATCACGATTCACTGAATGGGTTGAATATTCCTCCAGAGCTTTAGAAATAGTTGACATCAGTAGTTGTTTTCTTTTTCTGTGGCGCTGAAATAAACCATCTGCATCTGATTAACGGGAAAACATATATTTTTTAAATGTGAATCAAACCCTGATTACCGTCTTGTTGTCTTGAAAAAATTATAAATTCCACACGAATGTTCATAATATCACATACAGTGTGTAAAAGCCAAATGGAATAAATTCATTATTTTAGTTATGGTATATATTTTAACAAAATCCCGAAACACGTCAAATTTTAATTATGATTCGACAGACTTTAAGAGAAAAATTATACCCCTACCTTAAACTCCCGTGGAATGACAGGTACAGGAAATATAGACATGTAATATATCGTTGGAAAGGTCCCTCCTTTCTCAATTCAAAAATGTTATCGCATTCAAGTTTATGGCATCAATTAAGATAAAATGAATTGAAATCATGTGGTTACCGAAATTCGATAAAGTACAGTCAAAACTTATTGCAATATACTCAAAACTCATTTCATGTTGAGGTATTGATAGAAAGAAAGTAACACTTTTGGAAAGCAGCCTTTGCAATTCCAGCGACATGATTGAGCTAAAACATATTGGTGTCCATTTCAACCCCCAACTCAAACTCATCAAAGCAGGAAGAGGAATTGTCTGTCCTGGCATTATCATATCCGGTTCGAAGACATTCATCTTTTTAAAGAAAACCGATGCCTGGGTTTTTGTGGCATTGAATTGAACCCGATTAGTTCCACCCCAATTCGAAATCACTTTTAGATCCTCATTGAGATATGCAACCACCTGCTACCGGGGTAGATATCCACATCCGCAGACGGTGTCCTGGAATCCAAATGGAATGACGAGACCAGTGTGCTGTCGTCAGTAGAGCAATAAATTGGATTCTTTTTTTTTTCAATAAATCGTTGATATACAATAAAAAGAGGGTTGTAGACAATACGGATCCCTGGGGAACACCATCGTGGATGATATAAGTATTTGAAAAGTGTCTCCCATCCCAGTGTAACTGAGTTGGTCTACAGTGACAAGTGTTGAAAAAGATATAGTTTTTCTAGACACTTTTGTATATGGCGTCCGAATGAGATCTTTTGATTTGGTAACCTTTTTGATCACCGACCTGCCTCCTTGACTCCACAAATCAAAAGATAGTCATTCCTTTTTTGATTTGAAAGGGTTATTTTTTTAGGAGTGAATAATTTTTGGGTTATTTTGAAAGTTACTTCTTTGCATGATCTACATATCCATGTATAGAGTTACTTATTTTCAAATTGATTACTTCCTTCCTTTTTTTGGAAGATTCTCTCATCCATTTTTTTGTATCAGATGGAGTAGTAGAAAGCCAAAAACTTTCTTTCCCAAAAATAGTCATTCCATCTGGTCACAGGTGACGCTTCAAGAAACGAGTCGGAAAACGGGTCAAGAATTTGACGCCCAAAGTGAGGCGACACATTATTTATCTCAAATTAAAAATTTTACTCTCTACAGAATATACAGGTACCCAATTATTTTCTGAAAACCACAAAATCATCAAAATTCTTATACCGATTCATGAACAGGATAGATTCTTTCGAAATTTCATCCTTCACACATAGACTCGGTTTCAGTTCAGGAGCCAAGCAATGTTACCACCTGTTTCATCAGTCCCTTTAAACATATATACGGAGCCAATCGATTCTAAGTATGACATTATTGCAAGTAGATATCTCCTTACTTTATCTACTTTAATCACTATGAAAAACAAATCTATGACTGAACAAAAAAAGTGTTTGTTCTCGTCAATTTGTATATCTTACTGTGAAATGAATAGAAATAATCAAAGCGAACATCATGGACTTTCAATTGGTGTCAGGATTAATTTGTTGTACTACTGTAGAATGCTTGAAATTTTAAATAATTGGTATGTCAGAATCTACAATTCAAATTTGGAAAAAAGGATTTTCTCGTATTAGGATTGTATTGCAAACAGTATAAAATGAAAAGTGGAAAAATGGAATGTTACAACAATGCCAATTTGATTTTTGATAGTTTTGCCATATTGAGTGGACGAAGAAAAAAATTCGGAAATGTTCTACACAAAACTGTACATTACTGACATTTATTTTGCAATAATGACCTGAAGCCTTCAAAATTATTTGATCATCAATACAAAAATATACACCAAAACGTATATATATCAAAACGAATATCTCGTGTATATGACGGCACTGATAACTCATTAGGTAGGTGTTCAAAGTAGAAACTATCAATATAAAATTTTTATATTTTGATAGATCATAGTGCCTATAAAATTTCGAAAGAAACTATACGTAAGTTTTCTTCGAATTGTCACATATTGCGCACAATTATACTCATGTGTGAATCTGAATAATCTTACACAACTTTAAGAACTTGGGAATTGTTTCGGAAACATTTATTTCATATTTGAATGAAAGGTTACCTTCATCCTACTGGAACTTACCAGAATTCTTCGTACATACCATCTGCTATTGTATGACCATTAGCACCTGACCAAAAATAAATCTGTGAAATTCGTGGGTCAACAATGAATCAATTGTACACAACAAAATTCTTGATGATTCAGTGTATACTAAATATACGCAAGGTGAATTCTTGGATTAATGAAGACGCGCCTATTAGTGTTTTCGTAGTAACAGTAATTGATTTCTTTTCCACTCGGTTTGTATTATCATATATATAATGTGTTTTGGACGTGCTCAGTCAGTTGAGTTATAAACTTCAGTGAAGATAAACCCTATACCCTACTGCAGTAATATTTTATTTTGATCTTTGTTGGAGAATGGAAATTGTTTTCTATGTAAGTACACATTTTGAAAATCTTGAGTTGATTATGAGAATTATATGTTGTGAATTGATGTAGTTGTTTTGAAGCAATATTTCATTGATAAGCTCTGTATAAATATTTTCAAAATTTTATCAGTCGGACCTTGACTCAATTATATGGACATTCAGAACCACAATGCTTCAAATAATATTTCTGTTTCACAAATTCTCAAGTGTTGAGGTCATTTCTGTTGCTAAAAACATGAACGTGATTCCCCAATGTTATTCTCTTCTTCAAAGACATTTTTTATCAATTTTCCTGAATTTTTCAATATAGTGGAACAAGGAAATACTTTTACACAATTGTATTCTATTTCTATGAGTCAAATATGAATGCAATCGTTATTTATGAACAGCCGTTGAAACCGAATTTATCAAACACCCAATGAAACTGGGCTGAAAGAAATAGAACAGTTACACTGTATTCCAACTTTCAGTGAATTTCATCTCAAATTTGGATGATTATTCACATAATTTCACAAGAATAAACCACACACAGTATACTATCAAAAGTTTTTCAGACAACCGTAGTACAAAATCTAGGAGGCAATTATATCATATTATTTGGAACATTTTGAAATTTTGGAAACTGTTTGGTTAGTTGAATGAAACCAGATTAACGAGCAGTAACATTCATCTCCAGAGCTAAATACACCGACCATTGTAAACCGTTATTCATAAAACACAAAATTTTCACTGTGAGCTCCATTTTTATACTTGAAACTCTATGTTTGGAGCATAAGCACAAGTCCAACGTCTCCGATACTGAGAGCACTCGAACAAGCCATAATACTCGCCAAATAACGAAAAAAAACTTACCTCTCCCCATCCCTACTTAGAATTAACGAAAAAGTCAATAATGTATGAGAGCAAAAAGATATATAACAACTTGCCACCCTGTTTAAGAGAAATCTCCATACACGATATTTCTCGAAAAAGATCCAACTAATTTGATCTCCCTCTTGAAGATGATCGGTTGGTGATCGAAATAGATGTCGAGGTGATGAAATAATTGTTTACTGTTAGAAAAAAACTCCAGTGACATTCAACAACCGTTACGGATGCTGAAATATACCGCCGACTTCAGATTTGGAAAAAATCTGTTGAATATTGCAAGTTTCTTCTTTAGTTTTTTTCATTTTCAAATATCCTCGATAGTTGTGAAAGAGTAAAATATGTCAATGTTGTTTACGAGTATCTGTTTAACTGTATAAATCATTGTTCCCTTTTTTTTCAACATTATTAACCCCAATCAACACTGTTTCATGAGAGGACGATCAAACACCACGAATCTTGTAACAATCACTCAATGTATTGCAGAGGGTATTGATTGTCAGTCTCAGACTGATGTCATCCACACTGATTTTTCTAAAGCGTTCGAAAGACTTGAACATAGTATCCTGCTCAACAAGCTTTCGACTTTTGGGTTATCCAATGAATTAATTACCCTCTTCAAATCGTATTTTTACAACCGTGAGCAGTACGTCCAACTCAATGGCTTCAAGTCTATCGAATATATACCCACATATGGTGTACCACAAGAATCAAATCTAAGACCCATACTGGTCAATATGTTCGTTGATGACATCAGAGCTGACATGTTCTAATGATTGCGAAAGAAGAATCTATCTCTCAACTTATCCAAATGTAATAATGATATACTCACTGAAAACGAACTTGGAATTACACAACTACGTCATAAACAATCAAGTTCTGGAGCTTCATGACACACTCACTGATCTAGGTGTTTTGATTCATCCCTCTCTTTCAATAAACATATTGACACTACTCTAACAGCAGCTTATCGCATGTATGGATTCTTAGTTAGAAATACAAAAGACTTCGAAAACGCTTCAACATTGAAATTACTTTATTTCACTTTTGTTCGATCTAGGCTGGAATATGCATCTGTCGTGTGGAGTCCCTACTATCAGGTTCATATAAATCAACTAGAAGCCCTACAGAGGCGCTTCCTGAAACATATGTCTTTCAAAGTTGAAGGCACGTATCCTACTGTAGGAATACCCTATTATGAATTGCTTGTAACTCACAATTTTTGTAGTCTCGAGGTGAGGCGTAAATATTATTCATTTCTTTTTTATTCAAGGTCATGAACAATATCATCACCTACTCTCAACTGTTATATATGTTGAATTTTTGGGTTCCTAGACGGTTATCTAGGAATAGTATCACATTTTATCCCAACACTCCGCGTACAAATATAATGGAAAAATCTCCAATTCGTACAATGTGCGATACCTCTAATTCTGTTGGTCATGTCCTATATATATATTCAACTACCAGATTATACAAATCAAAACACATTTCTTAGCTAAGTGACAGTTCTGTTTTTATTTTTATTTTCTATATAGATTCACAAATTATATTATGTAAGTACATTTTTGTAAATGCCACTGTTACTCCCTATTCTGTAATTGAGTTCATCCTGTAGAATACTGTATGAAATAAATGAATGAATGAATGAACAAAATTATTGAATACTATATAAACAGTTTGCTCTTATTAAGTTCTCGATTACGATGTTTATGCTTTTTCAGAATGTGGAAGTTGAGAAAACTCAAAAAAATAGATGAAAATTCTAGATTTTCTTCACAGACAATGACTTCTGTTCAATATTAAATCATTTTTTCAGATCGCCTTGAGCGTTTTCATTGTACTTCCCATCAACAGTCTACCAGTTTCAAAAGAGAGCGATGGTATTTGGGAACCCAATGAAGTACTCATCCTGCACTTGAACGATATCATTGATGAGGAATCGTTTGCTCATATTATCAAAAAACGAGAAATTTCACAAGACGGGGCAAAACTTAATGAACTGGAGAGCTCGAATGCTTCAGAAGATGTTGGAGATGCCGTTGAGAGTTTAGAAGGAGCAGAAACTAGGAATTACAGACCTTATTTCCGATTCCGCAAAACCTATAAGACTAGATATAGTAGGCCACAATATCCTCTATCAAATTATGCGAATGATAGAGACAGATTCCCAACGACTTTTTAAATGGATACGCTAACATATTTGTCATTTGATAAGAGATATTAAGTGAAATTAGGTGTTCATGTATCAAAATCTCCATTTTTTAGGAATTGTCGAAAAATGTACTGATTAGTTTAGGAAACGAAACGATGACGAAAATAATGTGTATGTATATATTATTCTAGTCATTTATAAATAGGTACTGATGATTCCTTAAAAAAATATCACTTTTGTAGAGTTATAAGTTGAATATTTATTGAAAAATTAAGAAGAGATAGAAAGCAATATTATATCGATTTCAATCATCGTGTATTTGGTAATTTTCCAGTGTCCCACTATTTATTTACACAATAAATTGTTATCATTGCTCATTGAAAGTTTTTTATTATTTTCATGAACTCGCATATCCAAATGTAAATATATCAGTTAGTTCAATATGACTGATTCAAAACAAATCTATATTTAGAAACTGCTAATTATTTAGGAATGTATCGCACTGAAGAAATAAATCGGAAACACTTTCAGATTTTTTCAGGGATTGTGTTTTGACTTTACCTGTAAATTAGGTGTTATTGGAAATATCCAATCTCGAAGAACCAAATTAAAATCCAAAATTTTGTGTGTCAAACTCTATTTTTTTTAATAACGTCACAGCTAACTTATACATATTATGAAAGATTCACAAAACATCAAATATAATTATACAGAATGTAACAATTTTGAAGTAAATAAACGAAATAAACTCCAACAGATTGTATCAAAATTCCATTATGCAAATGACTTGGATTCGATAAAGTCCCCGAATCGACGAATTTTACCTTCAATTATTGAACAAGAAAGCAATATCTTGAAAGCAAAATTTTGAAAATTACAGGATAATGGTGAACAAGGAATACATAAGATCATCTTTTATCGAAATATAAACATAGGGATTCATGTGGAGTTTTTGAATTTGATATCATTTTTTGAAAAAATGTCAATATCTTTTTCAGGGTGTAGATAGTCCTGTGATGCTTTGTTATTATTACAAGATGATTTCTCAGTTCTCTATCTAAATTCGCAATTCCTAAACCTGTTATTATTGGAAGTCATATGCAACATATGTTAGTGGAAATATTTTGTTCAACAGTAAATATCATATTTTCATTGAACTAATGTCCTGAGCAGTCAACATTCAATTGCTGAAGTTGATCTTGTAATGTTGGTATATAGAATATACGTATCACACATGTTTTGCCGATGTTGAAAATGGTATTTATGGAACCAAGGTGGATTTATGTCAGACAAGTAATCCTAGTTAGGAACTTTTAATAAAAAATTAATGAGTGTATCAGAACAAGGGCCATGAACCTCAACTGAATGAAAAAATAAAACAAACGAATGGTATTGTGATTTTTTTCATTTCACAATTCTATTAACAAAATGTGAATCTTCGATACAAAATTGTAAAGTTTCCGAAATTACGCGAATACGCAAAGCCAAAGGGTGAAAGTATGGATTGTCATCTGAACAAAACTCTCTCTGGAAAAAATATTCATAACTTTTTCAATAAGTCGCAAACACTGCAGACAGTTGACTTGGAAATGTCCTTTCGTGTTGTAGATTTTTCAAAATGATTTTAAAACATTCCCCGTTTTCACCAAGTCCTTGTGTTTATCATCAAGTGTTCAAACTTCACGAGTGTTTGTTTATCCCTCAGATTTTACAGTTCATCAGGAAACATTATTTCTCATGTTGGTTCCTTATGAACAACCTCACCTTGCAATTCTTGAGGAAGAGCCAATAAAGTCTCGAAAGCTTGAACAGCAAAATAGGTCTCATTATCCTTCTCTGCATAAATGCTTCAATCCTATGCTTGTTTTTCAACTTAGTCAGTCGAGCTCACCTCCACACTTTATAGTGCAAACAATAGATACGTGTTTTGAGCTTTTGTTCCATCATCAGTAGATATGTTGCAGTCAATACCTATAACATCTTCATACCATTAGCGACGAGACACACATCGTCCACACACGTGTCCACAAAATCGTTTTGAATGATCAAAAAGTGAAGTGTCAAGAGTTAGCTGATATTTTAAAAATATCTACTTCTATTCTCTTAACCTGCTGTGATATCTTTAGTCCAAAGTCTTATTGTTATTTTATTGTATTTGTAACTCATCTACAGTGTGACAGATTTTTAATGGAAACACACCCGTAAAATTTGAAGTTGTAAACCGATTTTAATTTTTTTTTTGAAATGTCAAGTACTGAAAGGTCTACCTTGGGACAAAATTTGAAATGTTTATTAAAGTTTCAGAGCATACTACGATATTTTTTCTTAGTCGCAAATCGGGATTTTTTTATTAGCGATTTTTTTATTGAAAAAATCACTATGCCACTAGATTCAGAGTGCCTCTAAACAGGTGTGACAAAAATTTCATGGAAAAATATTCATTATTAACAAAGTTATGACAACTCAAAAATTTGGAAACTCACACAGCTAACAGTAACAACAAACACCCTATATCAACAGATATATCCCATGAGAATATTTTTTATGATTTCAACAATAAAGTGCCGCCAGATGAAAAAAAAAAAAACAAATAGCGTAAATATTTTCAATGAAAATAACGGAATAACATTCAAGTTTTCACGCAAATTAACTAAAAATAAGACCTAATATTCCAATTTAAATCTTAGTTGCTATGGAAATGATATTACATCAGTTTGACACTTGTGAAAGATTTAAGTGTACTATTGTCAACAATATTAACTTTACAGTTCTTCCAATTATTTTGTGTCATGGCTGCAAGATTGAGCGTAAGAGAGAAAATTGAAATTGTACGCCTTTCGGGAGATGACGTTAGAAGTGCTAGAGAGGTTTGTAGAGTATTTAATGAGAGACATCCAGATCGTCCTCGTATTAGCTGCGGTACGGTAAATGAAACAAATAAAATATTCAATGATGAAACTGGTGCAGTATCAAAAATAATGTTAAAAAGTAGTCCTGTACAAAGATGAAACAGGAATGACAGGAATGATCAAATCATTTTAGATTATTTCGGAAATAATCCTAATGCCAGTATAAGGAATGCCACTTTAGATTTGAATATTCCAGGAGAAACTATTCGGAGATGTCTCAAGGCGAAGAATATTAAACCTTTCACACACTTCAAGAAGACGACGAAGCAAGACGCCTGGAATATTGTTTATGGGACCAAGGGGAATATTTAAACAATAGAAATTTCCTAAAAAATATTTTATATACCTACGAAGCCACTTTCACTACAAATGGAGTATATTGGAACCTTTCAAGGTCGAAATTGCGAAAAATCGACCCCATTCGAAGAAAAGGAAAGTGCTGCTTGATCAAAACAATGCATAGTGTCACAAATCAATGAAAACAATGGTGAAATTTCATGAAATGGGCTTTGAATTGCTACCGCATATACCATAATATCCCCAGATTTAGCTCCCAGCGACTACTGGCTACACGCAGACTTCAAAAAATGCTCATCTGTAAGAAATTCCGCTTGAATGAAGAGGTTATTGCTGAAACTGAAGCCTATTTTGAGGCAAAAGGTTATTCTTTCTACAAAAGTGGTATTGAAATGTTAGAGCGGCGCTGAAATGATTACATCGATCAATAAAGCCAAATTTGAACAAACGAAACGCTTTTTTTTCTCAGGCCCAGGATTTTCCAGCACAGGTTTTTATAAGTATGCAGAATGGGGCATATTCAAGTATCTATTTGAAAACACTTTCAACAATACCCGTTGGTAGTATTCAACTACTACCAGTTAGTGTATGCTAAACTACTTGTTTTTGTATTACCTCTAATTTGTTATGTATTTCCTTTACATTTTTTCTGTCATCTGTTTAAAAATCTGTTTTTCTGTTAATCAGCTGTCGCCCCCATACGAACGACACCTCTTAGAAGTTGAGAAACTTGTGCGAGCCAAGGACTGACGAGGTCTTACCTTTTAACGTGTAATTCCTAATGTTTATCTATTATTTCATTTAGAATTATTACGTATAGCACCAAACAAAGGAATTTTGTCGCTATTCATAGAACTCATTCCACACTTTTCGATTTCCAAGCTTTTGAATGCATCCAGAAACCTATTGTCATGCACTGGTCCCAACACTTTCAAACATTTGCCACTTATTCTGTGATCGTTCTCTATGGCAACTTGAGCGACACTTGTTTTCTTGTTTTCAAACATTTGTCACTTATTCTGTGATCGTTCTCTATGGCAAGTTGAGCGACACTTGTTTTCTCCGATCGTTGAAACAAAACATGCTAAACATTGTCCTTGTAGCGAGATTTGATAGATTAGATTGTTGCGGAGCTGGCCCATGGCTTGATTTCCTGCGATCTTTTCAGATCTATTGTGATACTTCTTGGTTGTGAGAGCTCATTCTCTAGCTTGATCTCTTTGATATGACTCCATAGGCTTGACACTGACCCCTTCATTAGCTGGCAACATCTCTTCCCCGCATCTTGCGTATCACAGCCTTGCTATCGTTTTGCATTCACAGAGCACATGCAGTGCGGTTTCTTCCTGTTCTTGACAGAACTTGTATTGGGTTTTTTCTGTGAGACCCATGTGGCTCATATGTTTTCTGAGTCGTCTATGCTCCGTTAGGAGAGCCGCCACTACCCTTACAACCTCACGGTTGTAGTTTAGCAGGTCTTCCGTGAATCTGAGCGATGCTTTCTTTATGAACTCTTTCACCAGTCTCATTCCTGGGAACCAATCTATCGATTCGGCTTGCATCCATGAATTTATGGATGTCTTCGCTACCCCGCAGAAGGGATCTGGGCCGGTCATAGCCTTAGATGCGCCTTCACAGGCTATTACATCAGCCTATTCATTTCCCTTGTGATTCTCATGTCCGGGTACATAAGCTAGAATGACCCTATTTGGGGTACATACTTCCTTGAGTTCGCTCAGACAGCTTCCGACCAATCTTGAGAAGACTTGAAATGAGCTGAGCGCCGAAATTGCTGCCTAACTTTCTGAGAAAATGGTTTTATTCGTGATCTTCTGCCTGTTTATTTTACCTATACAGTATTCGATGGCCGCTACTTCTGCCTGAAACACAGTTGCATTATGTCCGAGGCTGAGTGCGATTCTCGTCTTTGCTCTACCTCCGTATATACCGGCTCCCACTCCTTCTTGGATCTTTGAGCATCAGTATATCAAGTGTCTTTCGCTTTCACAGGTGGGTTATTTTGCCAGCCCTCTCTACTTGGTATGATGATTTTGAAATCTTTTTGAAAGTCGAACTGCGGAACTGTGTTATTCACGGACATTTCTAGTATTGGATCTGCCTTCAGTTCATTTAACAGTTTCAAGAATTCTGTACCGTGTGACTGGCTGATTG